CACGGTCATTTTGGGAAGGTACACGATCACCCACATCGCGTACTTTTCTTGCAGGTTCAAACCTGTATGGGCCAATTTGTCCCTGGCACTCTAAAACAAAATCGTGACATCTCTCATTGTCATCATACTCTTCGATTTCATAACTCTCGTCAGACGATAACATAGATTCCGTGTCGCTTTCCGAGCACTGCATACGTATAGCGGCCATTGTGAGACGATGACAAGTTCCCCCCGTGACGTCACAAAGTACCCTTGTATGCTAATTAGGTACTCTAGTTGGAGCCTCGCTCTGAGTCGACCAAGAAACTGAACGTGGGCGTGTCCTTATCCAGAACATTATTATTGATCGTTTACTTAATTTATGTACATTTTTCACTTGATTTTTTTTCATAATGTTTTTATAAATAAATTTTGCACACAAAAAAAGTCAATAGTCCCAATTCAGTTACACTTTAACATTGATTAATTAACATATATAACATCCCCCGGAGGGGGGTGAAAGGGGTTACAAAACACATGCACGTTGGTGTTGGCTGCCTTATTACGATGTAACATCAGGGAGCTGGTAACATTAACGCCATCTTGAAGTTGTAAGGCTTCGTCCGCAACTATGCTCATTAGCATAGGCGGCAGCTTTAAAGGGGAACTAAATAGAGCCTATTTTGGTGTTTGTATTTATCAAGTTATATATATTGATTATAAATTTGAAAAAAAAAATTAAAAAAAATGATTATCTTCACAGTTATGATGATTTAAATATGAGAAACCATAAACCTGCGATGGACTTCCGTTTGCGCCATCTTGCCATAAAAATACGCCCTCATGAGGTATAAACAGGTAAGGTAACAAAGCATGATGATGAAATAGTATCTGATTAAATATAAGCAACCTAGGGAGCCATAGTTGGCTGGACAGGTGAATTGACTTCTAGTCTAGGTTGTTTCGACTTTTACGTTAATGTTATTTACAAAGCGTATCAACATACAAACATTATAGATGTGCGATTGATCGAGACAGGCATTTTGTTTTGTTTT